TAATAGTATAAATACAAATTAATTTAGAAGGAAAATAAAAAACACCTAGATATATAAAATATCTGTATGTGTTTTTCAAGAGAGATTTACACATATACTCATTCATTCATATCGTTTGACGATCCAACCTGGAAAAGAGAATATTGCAGACACCAATACTAATAATAGTTACCCGAGTAGTTACCCTTATAAAATTACATCGGTAGATACATGGCAATGCCAAAAGAAAAATATACTAACAAAATCAAGTAGAGAAATTTAAATATTATTTATTTGTCACTTATTTGTGAAACGTCATTTATCAAGTCAAAACATAAACAACGAAAATTGATTTTTACCAGTTACTGGCTCTACTGACTTGTAAAATTGACAGCTAAACTGTAAAAACTTTTTACAAGTCAGAGAATTATTTATTAAAATTGTATTACTTATGTAATACTTTTTATTTACGACTAATGTATAATGTGCGTATTATATTTGTGATTTTGGCAGTATAATGACATATGTTATTCCTCCAGGGATTAATGACGAGTTGCGGGATTAATGGTCATTATTCCACAAAAGTGTCAGTGTCAAACGTGTAGTGCTTGTGGATTTGTATTGGAAATTATGAGACGGATGAAATTTGTTCATTGAAAATCTCAAATAAATTAATTTGTCGTAAATAAAGTAGAGTATACTACTCGCAATAATGGCTATTATTCCCTCGGAATGTTACTCCCTCGCCGCTAACGCGGCTCAGTTCGTAATAATCCTCGGGAATAATAGCTATCATTATTGACTCGTGGTATAATCTACTATTTATTTATTGTTTAAGATTGTATACAAATGAGTAACAAATAAATTATTGTACATCATACGCCAGGTATCAGTTTTTACCTGGCTAATAATGTAAAATACTATTTTGATATATAGTTTTGAATCACATTAAGTGGATATGGAGTTGTTTTGCATGTTTCACCCCACACCAACGTCCCGTATCTTAACATAGATTCGACAAAGGCTTTATACACAGAACATTTTCATTCAAAATATTCTTTAGTACATAAAATTTATGTTTATATCAGATTTGTCATTGATTTTACCAATTTAGTTATGTGAATTGAATTTTAAATGTTGGTCAATTATGATGCCCACATATTTAGTATGTTCGACCGATAAAATTTGATGATGGGATTAATCTATCTGTAAAGCATTTAAGGTTGGTCTATTTTTTTGTGTTAATGGGAAAGCAATAAAGTTTGTTTTTTTGAAATTTAGGGAAAGTTTAAAATAATCAAACCATCTCTTCACTATTCGTGTGACCTTTTCTGCGGTATCCTTAACTTCATCCCAATCGTTACCTTTAAAATCAAGGACAGTATCATCTGCATAAGATAGTATTGTACCTCCCATCTCAATCTCTTCGAGAAGAGGATTCATCTAAACAATGAAAAAAATAGGTCCGAGAATCGTTCCCTGAGGTATACCCATCCTAATACTATTTGAATTAATGATTGTACCATTCAGCCTTACAGCCTGTAACTTATCACTTAGATAAGATGGGAGGACATCCAAAACAGGGCCAGGAATCCAAGGTTTAATTTTCCTAACATTATATTTTATTTTTTAGACAGGATTCGTCTCGTCTATCAGCAAAATATCTAGTTGAAGTGTTCTTGAGATCGTCCCAGGAGGAGACGTTCTGTACGTTAACTACTAGTCTAGCATTTCCTGATAATTTGCCAATCAATGTATTATTTAAAGAAATATTCTGAAAGCAATTTGCGTTTGCAACATCGTAGACATTGTCAACAGGTTAATAAATACCTGTTCAATTCGCATGGATTTTCATCTAATTGCGGGACACAATTAAGATATTCAGGTTTAAAGGTTGTTATATTTATAGGATGATAAGGAAGAACAGTAATTCTGGAATATTTTGTACATTTGAAAAAACAAGGTTTCCTTGTGCATGTATTGATTTCAATGTCGCTTCTAATTCAGCTATAATTATTTGAAAATTTGAATTAGGATTTGTATCAATAGAAGTAATTTAACGCTTCCTGTATTGGAGAGGCGGATTCAGAGCCACTTAAACTATTATCCCTTATATCAATATTTTTAAAAGAATTTTCTAAATCATCAATGCCTGACATTTGTAAATTGCACTTACATAATAATCCATAGGATAAGTGCCATTATTTCTTCAGTTTCTTATTTTAGGAATTATATGAAGTCTCAGCTTTTTGGTGGCGATTCTATTCCAAGTCCAAATCACTATTTCCTCGCGAAATAAATCGATTTCGGTATTTATTTGCAAAGTCCCCGGGTGAACTAATCCTCGATTGACTACTTTCCATGCACAGACACTTTAAGGGGTTAACAGTCAAAGTCCTGATAATCGTTCAAAACTTTTATTCGCGACTGTAAGTTCTTTGGGATGGCCAACTAAACGTTAGACGAAAAATCGAAGCTCGATGTATCAATCTTTGACTATCCTACCTACTTTCGGCTTCGTCTTTATATAGGTAATTGTAGGAGTGACACGGCTCTTTACTGCCAATAATTAAACAACTTAAAATTGCACTCGTCTTTCGTCTTTCTTCTTTTTAAATTAGCTACGCACGCTACTTATTACCCTGACCTGATCAAAGGAAAGAATGGCCGTCCCCCCTCGCGTAGTACGCTCACACCGACTTTTTCCCATACTGCCCCATCAAGCGTGGTTGTCATTGCTCTTTGTAGGTGTTTTTCACTTAATTTAGATTGAATGCACCACTTGAACAAAACAAAACAGAACAGAACAGAACAGAACAGAACAGAACTAAATATGTACACCTACAAAACTATATAGTAAAATTATCCTAAAGGGAGTATCATCTAACTCATGCGACAGGATAAATATTTGAGTGTGTTAACATGTGACGCTTTAAATTGAATTTTTGTTTAAATTTTGCTTTGCAAGTGTCACACTCAAAAGGATAAATATCCGAATGTGTTAGTTTGTGTTTCTTTGAAACGAATTTTTGTTTAAATTTTGATTCGCAAGTAGTACATGCGAAAGGATAAACATCTGAGTGTGTTAACATGTGATTCTTTAATTGGATTTTCGTTTAAATTTTGCTTTGCAAGTATTACATGCGAAAGGATAAATATCTGAGTGTGTTAACATGTGACCCTTTAAATTGAATTTTTGTTTAAATTTTGCTTTGCAAGTGTCACATTCAAAAGGATAAATATCCGAATGTGTTAGTTTGTGACTCTTCAATTCAGATTTTCGTTTAAATTTTGCTTTGCAAGTGTTCACATTCAAAAGGATAAATATCCGAATGTGTTGGTTCATGATTCTTCAAATCGAACTCTCGTTTAACCGACCATTAGTCGCGCGTGCATCTCAGAGCTACATGCCTATTATTTTTACAAATAAATCAAAAAGGAAAAATCCTATAATATTATGGCTTGTAGTAGTCCTTATTTATATTGTGTATTATAGTTTTTATAATACTTGTAAATAAGTAAATAGTGTATGCGCACGAACAAGAGAAAAAGGGAGTCAGTACTAATTCGGCCGGGCTACGAAAACGACAGTTCGCACGGTGGTTTTCGCGTGTACCGGTTCCGTTCTTCGGTTGTGCCAGACTTCGGCCTTTGGGCAAATACGTAATCGTAACAGTGCGGCTATAGACTATACTGTGACTAATTTAGTGTATTGGACAATGAACATTCAAGCATTGGATAATAATTCCTAGTACGTAAGTCGATATATAAAAGTGGCGACGAGGATATTCAAACCTATGTGCGTTAGAGTGAGAAAACTATACTTCGTTCTTCGTAAAATACTGCTCCTTCTACTCCATTCTCTCACCTCCAGTTCAAATTTCGTTAGACTTGACATTAAATTTATTCAAAAATTTATTTGCTTTAAAAACATTCATACAAAAAAAGGGAAAAAATAAACATTCCGACATTCCAAAACTTGTTTCTGCGATTATTTACGTTAGTGGTAATAGAGACTCCAATAAAATAAATTTATATTTCTTTATTTATTTCAACATAAAGAAAAAAAGACAATGCCGAAAGAGTCCGCCGAAGCTTCTGTTTCTACAGTTAATTCGCATATTTTTCAAGTCAGACCTCCAGAATTTGATCCAGAAGTATTTGAATTTTCTACATGGTTCATTAAATTTGAAAATTTTTTGGTTTTGAGCTCAATTACTAATGAAGATTTGAGACGTGCTTTATTGATTGATTCATTGGGAACAAGACCATTTCATACTTTAGTATCATTATGTTTGCCAAAATCCCCAAAAGAGTATACATTTCAGCAACTTATTGATAAATTAGATGCAAACTATGGTCGGGTGACTTTTATTTCTACAGAAAGATTTAAATTCTTTTCAAACAGACAAGCAAAGGGACAGTCATTAAACGATTTTGCAAATAGTTTGAAGGATCTTACAAAAAAATGTGATTTCCCTAGTAATTTCTATGAAGATGCTTTGATAACAGCATTTTTGACGGGTATTCACAGCGATTCAATTAGAAAGCAACTCCTTCAAAAAGATTTAAAACGGTTTTCAGAAGCGCTGGAGGCAGCTCGTACAATTGAAGGATTATTATGCAATAATGACAATAATAATCACCTAACATTGGAAACATATAAAATAAATCGCATGCCGTTCCCTCCAAGGAATAAAAATCCAAATAATACCAATTCTTCTTGCCATTCTTGTGGAGGGATGCATTTACGTTCCAATTGCCGTTTCAAGGATGCCATTTGTAATAAATGTTCTACCAAAGGACATATTGCTAAGGTCTGACAAAAGTCAACGTATCCATCCCGCTCTTACGAACAAAATAACAGAGTTAAGCCTCAAGCTCAAGGCTTCCGGCCAAGGAAAACACGTAACGTTTTTGAGTCTACTGGGAAGCCCGAAGAGAATTTAGTAGATGATTTTGATATTTTGGAGATTAATAAAATACATGCATTAAATAAAATTCATGCTCCAGCGATAAAAATGCCAGTTTACATAAATAATAAACTCATAGAATTCGAGTTTGATACAGGGAGTTGTGCAACCATTGCCAATGAAGAAGTTTGGGAATTGGTAGGAAAACCTGATTTAGTGCCTCCTTCTGCTACCTTATCTAGTTTTTCCGGGCATACCATTGATCTTATGGGTGAGACCTTTGTAAATGTAAAGATTCAAAATCAAGAAATTATATTGAAATTATATTTTTGTCATGGAACTGGGAGCAATCTCTTGGGACGAGATTGGATTTCGGAATTGAATCTCACTTCTTATTCCATTGATGATTTAGGAAATTCACAAATTTTTTCAGTCACTACTTCTTCAGTAAAAGATAATACTACTTCCACTACTACAAAAATTTATAAAATCTTATCTGGTTATCCTGAGGTTTTTGATGGTAAACTAGGACATTGTACTAAATTCAAGGCACATTTGGAGCTTAGAGAGGGTGCTAAGCCTGTGTTTTGCAGGGCACGACCACTACCTTTTTCTATTAAGGATACAATAGAAGAAGAAATTAATTCTTTGATTCAAAAACAAGTTTTAAAACCCGTTTGCTATTCAGAATGGGCTGCTCCCATAGTTCCAGTAAAAAAAAAGGAAGGGGCTATTCGCCTTTGTGCTGATTTTAAAACTGGACTCAATAGTGCTTTAAGAATTCACCAATACCCTTTGCCACGTTCTGAAGAAATTTTTGCTACATTAAATGGAGGAAAAACATTCACTGTTATAGACTTTTCCGAAGCCTATCTTCAAATTGAACTGGATTCTTCTAGTAAGGAGTTGTGCATAATTAATACCCATAAAGGACTTTTCAGTTTCCAAAGATTGCCATTTGGAATTTCGTCGGCTCCAAGTATTTACCAAAATTTGATGAATCAGATGTTGGCGGGACTTTCAGGAGTTTCATCTTACTTAGATGACATAATAATTACAGGGGAAGATGAAAAATCACACTTGGACAATCTGGAAAAAGTATTTCAAAGAATAAAAGATTTTGGACTACGTGTTAGAAAAGAGAAATGCAAATTCATGCAGTCAAGTGTGGAATATCTGGGATTCATTATTTCTTCAAAGGGGTTACACAAGTCTCCAAAGAAAATAGAAGCCATTTTAAACATGCCGCGACCTTCGGATTTGGATAAATTGCAATCCTATTTGGGCATGATTAATTATTACTCCAAATTCATACCTAAGTTAGCTGATTTATGCTACCCTCTAAATAAACTTCGCAGGAAAAATGCTACTTGGAATTGGTCCGAAGAATGCGATCAAGCATTTTTAAGAATTAGGGAGGAACTTTCTTCTCCAAAATTTTTGGCCCACTATGACCCAAATTTGCCGCTTATTTTAGCAGCTGATGCTTCTTCAGTAGGGGTTGGTGCAGTGATTTATAACCGATATCCTGATGGATCTGAAAAGCCAATTGCTCATGCTTCAAAAACGTTAAAGCCAGAAGAGCAACGTTATTCACAAATAGAGCGTGAAGGTTTAGCTATTGTGTTTGGAATAAAAAAATTTCACCAATATGTATGGGGTAGAAATTTCAAACTTTTAACTGATCATAGACCGTTAGTTACAATTTTTGGCTCAAAGAAAGGAATACCTACTTCCACTGCTAATAGACTTCAGCGTTGGGCTATCCTCCTAATGGGGTATTCATTTGATATGGATTATGTTCCTACTTCAAAGTTCGGACAAGCAGATGGTCTCTCCAGACTTCCTGCAGGATCTGACAACGATTTTGATAGTATTGGATACAATTTCGAGTATGTAATATCTAATATTATAGAAAATGCACAAACAAATATTCCAGTTAAAGGTGAAGAAATAATTCGTGAAACGGTCATGGATTCTACTTTAAACAAAGTTAAAGAATATATATTACAAGGCTGGCCAAAAATATGTCCAAATAATGATATTAAACCGTACTTCGTAAGACGACATGAATTGTCCGTGGAGAACGACTGTGTTTTGTGGGGAATTAGGACGATTGTTCCAAGAAGTCTTCAATCAAGGGTTTTACAGGATCTTCATTCAACCCATGCAGGGATCGTACGAATGAAGGCTGAGGCTCGACGATATTTGTGGTGGCCTTATTTGGATTCTGATATTGAAAGATTATCCTATAATTGTATAGCTTGTACGTCTATAAACCGGGATCCTCCTAGGGTACCTATACAGAGTTGGCCTAAAGTTCCACAGCCATGGTATAGAATACACATAGATTATGCTGGACCTTTCAAAAATTCAATGTTTTTAATTGTCGTGGATACATTTTCAAAATGGTTAGAAATTATACCAACGAAGTCTACAAACTCTGAGACTACAATTAGAGTATTGAAAGACCTTTTTGTAAACTATGGGTTAGTTCAAGAGATTGTTTCTGACAACGCTACTGCCTTTACGTCAAGTATTTTCCAAGAATTCTGCAAAAATTATGGTATTAATCACATAACTACTCCAATTTATCACCCGTCATCAAATGGACAAGCTGAACGTTACGTTCAATCTTTTAAGTCTGCAGTCAAGAAAATTTGCTTAACCGCATCTGGAGATAAAGTTGTGGATCATGTCAAAAACTATTTGTTCAAATACAGAAGTACCACTCACGCAGCAACCAAAGCTTCACCCAGTGAATTGTTTCTTGGAAGGCAAATACGAACTACGTTGGATCTGGTTAAACCAACCATTAATAAAAAAACGGAATTTCCCGCTAGTAGATTTAAAATTGGAGAAACGGTTTGGGTGAAAATGTTCAAAAACCTAAACACATATTCTTGGGAAAAGGGAGCTATTTTAGAACAAATAGCAACCAACGTATGGAAAATTAAAATTAATGACAAAGAAGTCAAAAGACATTCAAATCAGATAAAATACTACAAAGGATCGAATAATGGTAGTGAGGAGGAAATAGAATTGGAACTGCCAGTGAGAGGTTCCAAAACGGGTTCTCCTGTAAGAAATAACAGACGGTCCTTGCCAATTGCTCTTCGTAAACCTAAAAGGAATTGTGGACCTCCTCAAAGGCTAGGTTATCAGCCAGAGGAAGAGGAGGAAGAAGAAGAAGAGTAAAAAAAAAAAAAATAATAATTTACTCATCATGTACATAGTAGCGTAGTAGTTCATATGGAATATTCTTAATTCTTTCTAACTGGGGTGAAGGAGTATTGTGTATTATAGTTTTTATAATACTTGTAAATAAGTAAATAGTGTATGCGCACGAACAAGAGAAAAAGGGAGTCAGTACTAATTCGGCCGGGCTACGAAAACGACAGTTCGCACGGTGATTTTCGCGTGTACCGGTTCCGTTCTTCGGTTGTGCCAGACTTCGGCCTTTGGGCAAATACGTAATCGTAACAGTGCGGCTATAGACTATACTGTGACTAATTTAGTGTATTGGACAATGAACATTCAAGCATTGGATAATAATTCCTAGTACGTAAGTCGATATATAAAAGATACCCTATACTAAGTACTTTCCCAAAATTACATGGTCATACCTCCACTTGGAAATTAGGAATTTACAAAAAACTAGGGGTACGCTCGACTTTGTACCTGACTGATACAACGCGGCTTTTCTTGTTACCAATGGTGCTCCTCAATTGTAACTGTTTTCTTGGTATTTTTTTTACATAAATATTATGGTACAAGAGGCTGTTCATTTTAGTTAGGTGAAGATGGAACTTGATGAGAGAAAAATTCCTCCCAAGCTGACTCGAAAGAGACCATATAATATTATGGTAAAGCTGCCGGACGTTGTTGGCCCAACTGCAACGACTGTGAAAACAGAATCCAACTTTTGGAATCTCTTTTCGGTAAAAAGTGATTGTTGAGTATACGAATAAATACATAGAAACTGTTTAACCGAAATTCATCAAATTGTTCAATTTTTTTATCAATTATTTAGTACAGGGTTATTGGTTATAAATGTCACCCCCCTCTATCTTTTTTATTTGACATTTTAGAAAAAAGTGTCCTAAATAAAAAATGTATGGTTGAAATTAATTTTTTTGAAAAACTCACTTTTGCATATACAGGGTGTTTCAAAAAAGCTGATCGTGCTTCAACTTTTCAATATTCGGATTTTACGTCAAATTCTGAGCAGACTTCATGTGATATACCCTATACCTAAGTTCAACTGTTTCGGAAACATTGACAATTGAAAATTCACTTTTTCGCAAATTTGACAGGCTGTAAAACCTAAACGGTTAACTTTTGAGCAAAACCGATCTTACATTTTTTCTAAGATTTTCACAAGTTATCATCTGACACCAACTTTGAATTTAACCGAAGATTGAATTTAATTGGAATTTTCAATCAGGAATTAAATTCAAAGTCGATGTCAAATATTAATGTCAACTGATAGTTTAAAAAATCTAAGATAAAAATGTAAGATCGGTTTTGCTCTAAAATTAACCGTTTAGGATTTACAGCCTGTCAAAGTTGCAAAAAAGTCAATTTTCAACTGTCAATATTCCTAAAACAGTTGAACTTAGGTATAGGGTATACCACATGAAATCTGCTCAAAATTTTATGTAGAATCCGAATATCCTATAATATACAGGATATTCTATTTGAAATAAAAAATTTGGAGCACGACCAGCTTTTCTGAAACACCCTGTATATGCGAAAGTGAGTTTTTCAAAAAATTTAATTTCAACCATAAAACTTTTATTTGAGACACTTTTTTCTAAAATGTCAAATAAAAAAGATAGAGGGGGGTGGCATTTATACCCAATAACCCTGTACATGTATCTCTGTGATACAGCGCGGTATAAAAACTCGCGCGCCTAATGGAAGGTTAAATTTCGCTTTGCAAGTATTACAAGCGAAAGGATAAACATCTGAGTGTTTTAGCATGACGTGATTTTTTAAAATGGATTTTCTTTTGAATTTTGCTTTGCAAGTATTACATGCGAAACGATAAATATCTTAGTGTGTGAACATGTGAACCTTTAAATCGTATTTTCGTTTAAATTTTGTTTTGCAAGTATTACATGCGAAAGGATGAATATCTGAGTGTGTTAACATGTGATTTTTTAAATTGGATTTTTGTTTAAATTTTGCTTTGCAAGTGTCACATCCAAAAGGATAAATATCCGAATGTGTTAGTTTGTGACTATTCAACTCAAACTCACGTTTAAACTTTGCTTTGCAAGTGTCACATTCAAAAGGATAAATAGCCCAATGTGTTACTTCATGAGTCTTCAAATCGAATTTTCGTTTAAATTTTGCTTTACAAGTATTACATGTGAAAGGATGAATATCTAAATGTGTTAACATGTGATCCTTTAAATTCGATTTCCGTTTAAATTTTGCTTTGCAAGTGTGACATTGAAATGGATAAATATCCAAATGTTTCAATGAATGATTTTTTAAGGCTGCCTTGGTTTATATTTAGCTTCGCATGTATCACATTCAAAAAGAAGAATACCCGAATGTGTCATTGAATGATATTTCAAGCTTGTTGCGGTTTTAAATACAGCATTGCAAGTATAGCATTGAAACTTCCTAATAATATCTGGTTCTGATGAATTGCCGACACTTGAATATTCGTCTCCCTTTATCCTTTCATTTGGATCAATTAATTCAATAGCTGATATTTCTATTTCGTTTTTGATGTCATCGTCTAGATAATCATTTTCTATCATGGACCTAAAAAAAAGTGTTTTAGATTCATAGTTAAATTTCGAAATTGGTTGGTAATAGGTACATTAGGTAAATGGGATTGAAATTCCAAAAATTAATACACAACGTAATTTATTGATACAAAAGTTTTCATTATTGATACAAATCTGTTCGTTGTTGTAAAAAGCGTCATCATAAATATTGTATAATTTTGTTATTTCTCTAGATGGGTAACAAACCCCTATATTGACGAATATGGTGTGCTGCGTGTCGGTGGCAGAATACGGCACTCTACACTCACTCCAGACGCTAAACATCCAATCTTGTTACTTTCGAATCATAATTTCACCAAACTTCTAATTGGGTATGAACACCAACGAAATTTACACGCCCCTACGCAAGCACTTCTAACTATTATCAGATCCAAATTTTGGATTATTCACGGCAAGAGTGCAGTAAAGCGGGTGGTCAAGCAGTGCATTATTTGCTTCAAAGCGAAGCCGGCTTTCAACGTACCCATAATGGGCGATCTTCCCCAATCAAGACTTATACCCTCGCGTCCATTTTTGACTGTAGGCTGCGACTTCGCTGGTCCAATTATGATAAAGGATGGCAAATTAAGATCGCGTAAAATTGTAAAGGCATACATCTGCATTTTTATTTGTTTTGTAACTCGGGCAATTCATATAGAACTTGTTGGTGACTTGAGCACCTATTCGTTTCTAAACGCCTTAAAAAGATTTGTAGCACGACGGGGACTTTGTAAAGATATTTATTCGGATAATGGAACAAACTTTGTTGGGGCGAATCTTGAGCTTGGGAGAATATTCAATTCTGTCCAAGAATCCTCACAAATTCGCGAAGTGTCATTGTTCTTGTTGGAAAACGATATTAAGTGGCATTTCATACCATCGCGTTCCCCAACTTTTGGAGGAATTTGGGAGGCGGCAGTTAAATCGGCAAAATATCACCTCGTTCGAATTGTAAAGGAAGCCTATTTGACCTTTGAATCTCTTTCTACGGTACTGTGTCAAATAGAAGCAATTCTTAATTCGAGACCCTTGACTCCTTCTCCAATGATGTCAATGACCTTTCCGTTTTAACTCCAAGTCATTTCCTTATTGGCTATTTGCTTACTTCGATTTCACAACGTGACGTAGTAAATGTTCCTACAAACAGACTGGTGTTATATGAACGACTTCAGCAGCTGGTACAGCACTTCTGGAAGAGATGGTCTGCTGAGTATTTGACGTCTCTTCAATCTCGTACAAAATGTAGAACCCACAACGAATCAACAGTCAAGGTTGGTTCACTGGTGCTTCTGCGAGATGAGAACTTACCCCCTCAACAATGGATTTTGGGTAGAGTGATAGACTTACATCCTGGTAAAGACAATGTGATCCGCGTCGGTGGCGTAAAAACTTAGTTTAAAGTGATTAAACGCGCGGTTTCCAAAATTAGTGTGCTTCCCATTGAAGCAGAAGCAATGGACTCTTAGAATATAAGTGTTGAATCAACATAAATTAGAAATTTCAACATAAATTTTAATTTAATCTGAAATTTCTACATCATTATAAAATCCACAATTTATTAGGAAATAAGGCAAGGTAATTAAACCCATCAAAGTTACTAAAAAACCACGAATCGATGTTCACGGGTTTTTCACCTTAATTTCCGTTATGATACCGCGTAGCGCCAGTGTTTTAGATACAAAATCAACACACCTTTAATTGTTATTAAGTTATGAAAAATATTGTAATTAATTATTATTAGTTATGATAAATATTGTTAGGTTCAAATTGAAATATTTAATATAAATAAGAATCAATTTGAATAATAAAGCCAGTATCAAACAATAATAGTTTCTGCTCATTTAATTACACAAAGTAGCCATTTGTGATAATTATCCCCAAAGTTCTTCCCTAAGGGCTTTGTAGTCGTTATCTTGGTTCAAGATAACTAGTGACTTTCAGGCAATAATTCCTGGACGTCACGCACAGAGATACGGACCTTGGAGGCCTTACAACCCTCTAGTGAACTACACAAAGGGCCCAACTCTGTTCATGGTCCTTCGAGCCTAACCCAAACCAGCCTACGAGAGTGCCGTTCAGCCCCCAGGACACAATCCGAGCCTGCGAGAGTGCCGTTCCGCCCTCAACAAGCAAAAAGTGCCGTTCAGCCCCCAGGACACAATCCGAGCCTGCGAGAGTGCCGTTCCGCCCTCAACAAGCAAAAAGTGCCGTTCAGCCCCCAGGACACAATCCGAGCCTGCGAGAGTGCCGTTCCGCCCTCAACAAGCAAAAAGTGCCGTTCAGCCCCCAGGACACAATCCGAGCCTGCGAGTGTGCCGTTCCGCCCTCAACAAGCAAACCAACAAGGCCCCAGTCGCCGCTCAATCAACAAGGCCGCAGTCGCCGCTCAAATCAACAAGGCCCCAGTCGCCG